GAGGACCGAGCCCTGGGGGACCCCACTGCCCACGTCCTTCCAGGTCAAACATGACCCGTCCACCACCACCCTCTGGGTGCGGCCCTCCAGCCAGTTGGTGACCCATTTGACTGCATTGGTGTTGACACCACAGCCCCCAGTTTCTTAATGAGAACGGGGTGAGAGACAGTGTCGAAGGCCTTCCGAAAGTCCAGGAAGACGATGTCCACTGCTACCCCTGTGTCTAAGGATTTGGTGACCTGGTCATAGAAGGCCACCAGGTTGGTCTGACAGGACCTGCCGCTGATGAACCCGTGTTGGTTGCCCCTGAGCATAATCTCCCCTGCTTGCAGACATGTGCCAGGTCCCTTGGTATCACTCAGTCAAGATGGGCACATTCGACGGTCACCTCCATCTCCCCAGGCCCATGGCAGGCTTCTCTGACCTCTCTCTCCTGGATACGTTTCTGGTAATACCGCCCCGGAGGGGGGATGCTCCAGCTGGAAAGGACCCCAGGTGAGTACCCACCCAAGAATTGGTTGCATTTTCCCCTGCCCCAGCCTGGAGTTCACATTTGGGCTGGGACGGTGACCCCGTGGGACTGGAAATGTCACAACACCATTGACTTGGGTGGGGGGCAGGAGTCTCAGTTTTGTTTCCGGCTTCTTGCAAGGCAAGCAGATGCAGCTTGTGTCCTCTGGAAGGAAGTGGGGGGCTGACATGAAGGCACCTCCACGGGCTCAGTCTCACCCGTGCAGACCCCAGCTCGTGGGCTGCCAAGGAAACATGGGCCCCGGAGATGCGTGAAGCATCAGCGCTGTCTTTCTCCCGGCAATCCTATATGGCTTGTCCTTCCCGGCACCACATCCCAGATGACTGATTAGAAAAACCCACTGCTCATGATTGCCAAGGGCTGCATGGTCCGCCCCACTGGTAGGATGGAAAAAGAAGTGTTGTGTGGTGCATGCAGCTCCATTAGACCCTGCTTCCACAGATACGTCTTTCCTGGGTGGTTGAGCATCGCTGTGTGCTGCGAGCTCCGGTTAGCATCCCATTGTTATCACCGCATGCAGAATAATCCCTCAAAGAGCTATTCAAACAATCTAGAGAGAGAGAAGTTTTTACAATAAAAGCTCGTGATTACAAGTGGCTTTAGACTGCGTAAAAATTTTTCGTCTTCATTAAGGTTTATTTGCTACTATTGCAATGGGTTTTTTGTGTAAGAAGAACTATTCAGATGCTAATTAGGCCTCTTAATTGCAGTAGTCACTGATTGCATGTATTAAAAACAGTTGAGGAAGTGTGGCAATTAGATCTTAGGGAAATATTTAAAAACAAAGTAGTGAAAAGACTTGCAGCAAGAAAGACACAAAAGAAAAAGGTATCTTAATTTACCTGGGGTCTACCTGTCTGTGGAGGCTTAGGCACGAGTTGCATCTCCCAGGTCCTTGCATCAGGTGGTTGGTGCTGCAACATCCAAGGAAATCTGGTTTCTATTTAATGGCTTTACTTTGATCACCCCAGAGATTGTAGCCTGGGCTCTACTTGCCCTTGACAAAGATTTAAAATTCAGTCCTTATCAATAATAAATCCAGCAATCTTGCAAGAGGAAAGTTGGTGCGCTTATCTGTAAAGCACTTAAAGCCATTGGGATGGGGGAGGAGATTGTCCGAGCAGATTTCTGATCGCAGCGGGCTTGAAAAAGCCTGAAAGCTGGGTTGGGACAGGGCGAACGTGTGGGAGCAGCGGCCCCGGTGCCACCACGCTGGCTTAGGAGCAGCACCTTGTCCACCACATGCAGGGAAGCAGGATGGAGCACCAGGACCCTCCCTGCAAGACAGTGGACTCCCCTCGCCCCCGCGGCCTGTCTGCGGGAGACCGAGGGGTTTGCCCCTGCTGCCAGCACGGGAACTCGGTCCTTCGCACGGTGACCAAAGCTCATGTTTCTTCTCTCCGGCCCTCATGCCTGGATGTCCACCCATGCACGGTGATGTCCCCTTCGCTGTGGGCAACCATCAGTCTCTCCTCCCCACCCCTGGGCTGAAGGTCTTTGCTCAGTTTTCCTCGTGGATTTGCTGGGCTGGGAGCAGCATCCTCCAAACCCTGGAAGGAAGCAATTCAAGGAGCCAGGCGCCTTTCCAGCTGGCCCGCGCGCACGTGCAGCTGATGCAGGGCAATAATCAGGGAGGCCGACGGGAAGCTGCAGGCTGGTCCAAGCCCCCGTGCACCTGGCTTGCTAGCTCTGAGACCCTGCAGCAGAGGAACAGGCTTTCCAAAACCCGCCTGCCTGCTGCAAAGGCAAGCTGAAGCAGCCGGGCCAGGCTGCGCACCCATTCCTGCAACTGGGGGAAGAGGAAACGATGTGGAAATGCAGACGCTGCCATACCTCGTTTTTTCACAGCTGGCTTGCACAGGGGCTGCCTGGCTCAGGAAGGGAAAAAATGCTCGAATCCCTCCTGCTCCCTGGAAGATGCAAAGCCCCAGTGGCTCCCAGGTGACTAG